ATGGTCTACCTATATACCAGTAATAGTAACAGGGGGAAAACTGTCTCCAACCGTATGATGAGAAAAGCTACTAAACCGTGTACTGCATAGTACACATCACAGAACCATATCTACAGTTCAGAATAGCCATCATTCACTTTACTGTAGCTGCGATAAGCATGGCGCTTCCCACAGAAAGTGCCCAACCAGAAAGTCGCTATACAAGCCATTACTGCCATCACCACTGTTATCCAAAAACTGCTAGCAGACTGAGCCACAACTGCTTCCAATGAAATCTACAACAGCAAGAACAACAAACTACAGAGCAACTGACCCTTCTTATCACTCCTACGCCATTCACAGCGGCCTCATGCGCCTCCACGCCTGCTGGTCTAACATAGTGCTGACCAGGCTTATAGAAATCGTCCGAGAAACCAACCATCCTCATGTACCACTCCGGCTGAGGCAAACCTCCTTGGAAGTCCATACGGCCATCGGGGAAATTATAGTATCCATCATTATACCTCACCTGATCTCGAACCGAATCACAAGGCCGACCAAATTCTCAATTTTCTACTATAAGCTCATCAGCCAGTTTCCACCACTCCTCAGTTATGCGCCTTTGAATTCTCAACTGCAGACTGTTGAGCATTTCCGTTTGTTCCTTCGGGTCTGTCAACTTCGCCGCCTCCCTCTCGACCCTGTCGGCCTCAGCCAATACCCACCTACAACCACACCCCAGTGTTAGAGAAATCTATTTCCCACTGAGCTCAGGAGCTTCCTCGCTAATTATAGAACATCACATACGAATTTGAGTAGAAGTATACAAAAACCATTGAGAATTTCCCAGGATTTGTCACCAACATGTGGTTGACCGTGTGCATATTTCCCCACACTGCACAAACATCACCCCTAGTCGGCTCTACCTCTGGAGCTCATCCCTCTTAGGGTAGACCATCTCCTGGCTCATATTCTGATAGTTGATATTCATCCAGTTAGCAACAAAGTCGAACGCCCAGAAGGCCGTGGAGCGATTGAACTCCTATAAAAACCATTCACTCACTCCTTCCTACCCCCCATCAAGCCTCACCTGAAGAGCAGGGCCGTATTGAGTCCCAAAACTGGGGTCAACAGCATCAGCCTGGGAATAAAAAGGTACAAAAACAGAGGTTGCCGGGGCGTCCAAGGCAAACCAAACCTAAACCATAGTCAACGACAGACCCTAGCACTAGCACTACCTTAGGGAAAGGCTTCTGGCTAGTTGCCACCATCGTATAGCTCGTACGATGTAGGGATATGGCCCTAGGGATCTGACCCTTAACCTCTTTCATCAGAGCACCACTGATCTCATAGTTTGGGTTGCCATACATACCTAAAACCACGTCTGTTCGCCTCCCGATCGTGGCCATTGTCACTCACCCGCAAGGATTCCTTTAGTCATGTCGAACTCGGTGCCTTCATAATGGTCACGGTGGAGATCGAAAATTTCATTCATTGTAACAGGTCTATCGACCGCCACGGAAAAAGGGTAATCATAAGGGTCCTCGTTATTGGGGATCTGAAGACCAGCGTTGAGGAAATGCAAGATGAGCAAGATTCTGCCCCAGCATCAGACCTACCCCCTGTGAAGGGGCAACCCTATCGAAAACCCTCCATTGTCTTAGCGAAGCGTAACGAGGAAGGGCAAGCTTACCCGATACGACCTTGGACCAGTCAAATGTGCCTTCCCCTGAAAATCATCATCTACACTCTACCAGTTGTGGCTCACTAGACACCTACCATCCCACAACCCCATCGCTTTAGTTTTCTCAAAGAGACCTTCAGAGTAAATGAACTCATCAGGAGCATTAGGTTTCACTGCCTTAATAATAGCGTTATTCGCTACCACCGCAACATGGTCATCGGGCACCTATGTTGTATATATACCAACCGTCTCCTACTAACGACCACTCACCCTCTGGGCTACCCAAAAAGCACCCTTATTGCCGTCCCCTTCAATCTCGAAGACCCATGCCTCAGTGTCATCAATGATAGTAATAGCCTCAGCAGAGCCATACCTATATCCAACAACGCCTTCCTCATCTCACCCTTCCCACACAGGCTCCCTTACTCCTCTCCTGCAAAGCCATATTCCTGTGCCAAGGTCCCTATCTTATGAATAGCACAGCGAGCAGTCTCACAGCGCTCCATGGCAATGGCCATCAGTGGGGCGATAGTGAAAAGGGCGGTACCTGATGTTAAAGGAGGAGGAGTGGGATAGGATCACTGCCTCAGGAGTACACCTAGTGTTGGAATATATGTTTGGTTTCCTCAGCTGAGCTCAGTAGCTCCCTAACTACATTGTGAACATTTACACACCATTTAGAGTAGCATTGTCCAAAAACCCACCATAATTTCTCCAAAAAATTCTTCACAATTTCCCTTTTGTCACCAACACACGTAGTTGACCATGTACGTCTATTCCCACACTGAGTACCCCTACCTTCCTTTCCCGTGATCTCGTCCTTATGAGTGACCTCCTGGACAGCCAAAGGCTTATTAGCAGCCGTAGTACTCTCACCAATCGCAAGACCCTACCCTCACCATAACACTTCACCAAGGCAGCTCATCTACTTACTTTCGAGTTGATAAGAGGATATGACGACTCCCACAGTGCGTAGGTTTCCCCCTCGCTCGGGACGTAGCCCAGAGGTGTGGATTCGTTTTGACCTAAACCATCCCTATGGCTTCCCCTTCATACCCAACAACCCTACCCGGCAGAGGTTCGTAAATATCGGCCCGGCCCTTAGTAACGACCCTCGGGTAGAGAGAGTGGATATTATCAAAAACTGGCCTAGGGCCTGTGCCGTTGCCCCGAGGGACATAGGCCATACGATTGTCACAGTTCATGCAATCGTTGGCATGGGTCGCTACGGGGTACCCAAAGGTAGTGGCCTTTCGACCAAAAATCATACTTGTACATTTGTCACTATTGCTGTCGAGATACTCGGCCCGTCTAAAGGGGGGAGAGTCAGAATAACAAGAAGAACTCCCCGTGGGTGCCTACTTGAGGGCTTCAGGGTCAGCGTCTGAAGACGCAGTGCCTACAGTTGCCAAGACCACAGTTTGTGGAGATCAAAGAGCGGTAAAATGTCATGACGTAGGGGAAAAAAGATCTGTGACACGGATGTCGACTATTGCTCTGCACGCATGCACAGCACGCATGCACAAGACAGGGAACAGACCTTTTCCAGCGACAAAAACACTATAATGGGGAACAGGCGGAGAATGGATAAGATGACCTACTTATACTTCTATAGTAATATAGTCACAAAATACCCAGATGGAAATGCGGAAGAGGCCACATTAAAAATCTCGATCGCCCTGGGATGCCTGTGATCACTGTGCGGGTGGCGCTACTGGGAAGAAGTCCTCCTCTACAACCCCTTTCTACCCAAGCCTCTACACTCAAGATGACGGTACCGAAATACGGTTGGTTGTGATTATGCGAGAACAACAGCAGCTGTACAAAGTGAAGAGAACAAGGCTGCCTCCCGCGTCGTCGAGTTACGCTCGGCCCGCGCGAATTCTCCACATAGTTCCAAAGCCTCCAGCTTCCACCTATCATACCACACCTCCGTCTTCTCCTGCACCTCCTGTATGACCTCACCCACCTTATCAATGCGACCATACACCCTCAGCCGCCTTTTGTGAAGTTAGAGGTACAACCCGAAATTGATATTCTAATCCGCGAAATTCATTTTCGCCTACCACCGCCAGACTAACATGCACACCCGCGAATATGATAAACCCCTCCTGAAAGGAAAAGTACACTTTGATCTTTCTTCTTCTAAAACTCCGCTCGGGGTGAATTCAACTACGGTAAGTGCTCTACTGTTGTCGTCATCATTGCTCCTAAATCCCAGGCCGATCGCCCTCCACGATTTATCGCGTCTCTACTGATAACCGGGCGTGACTTCTTCTCTGCCCCCAAAAAGGATCCTCCCCTTTCCCTTTCCTCCTGAGCTGTCGTGTATACCGCGGGACACCCACTAGGGTTGCTGTGTACGCCCGAGTTGACGATACTCATAGAGGATGAAGACCACAGGTGATGCATATGAAAGTGAATGCTAGACTCAACAACGATGTATCTAGTACGAAGGGATATCTCGCACTCTCAGAGGCGACCCCGTCCTAGCTTGTCGTGCCTCACAAGAAGAAGCGACGGCGACAATCGTCGTCACTGCCTCACGAGGGGTTCTATCACATCTGGCTCGGAGGTTTCCTTCGAGAAATCGATACTGCTGCTACTAGCCATGATCACTCGCACATGGGGCGGTGAGCTCATGGCAAAGGGCTTCCTAATCGATACCGCAGCCACACAGCACTCAACAGATCCAAATGGAAACCATCAAGAAAATCAATAATAAAGTATCAAGATAGTGTTAGTGTGCGCACTGCAAAGATTCATGGGTAGAAGGCGGCTTCGAATTAACAGCCTCGGCAACCATACGCATGTAGTCTCTTCGTACTAATATCTTCCCGTGGTCTATACCATCCAAAATAACAGTAGTAACCCCATTGAAATGGCATTCCGCATAGACGTCCTTCACCGGCACCACATGGTCATGCTCCGACAGGAACACTGCTGAGCCTCGGGGTAGCTCAGAGGGGAACATGACGCATTGCATCCAGAAGAAGTTGCGGAATAGACAACAGGCGATACCAACTTCTTGAGACGCTATATACCGTAAAAACTTTGCAAAGGGTTTCTCAGGCTTCTTATACAGGAAGTTAGCGCAAACATCTGGTAGCTGGAGATGGATGCTAACAGGGTCTATCAGGACCACTCGAGAGCGAGAGTACACTTCTGGACAGTAGTGCTTCACCCATGCTATAGTAAAGGTACCGAAGGAATGGCCAGCTAGACAAAGGCGCCGTTGGCCCTCAAGGGCTCCATGATATCGTAGGGCACACTCAACGCCATGAGCATACTCCTCTGCTGGGACCACTTCGGCCCATGGGTCCATCGACACCCACGGTAACTCGAATAGGAAGTGGGTCTTCGCAGTGAAGGATGGTAGGAAGGGAATGTATGTGGTGACACCAATCCCTAGGCCATGGAAAAACACCAAAACTTCCTCCTTATCGTCTAAGGTAGGATCCCCCTTGTACCAATACCCCACCCTACCGTAGTGATAACGGCGATATCCGAGTAGTCGTAAGCCTATGGAGCCCAAGAAGCCCAAGCCTCGCACTGCTAGATAGAATACGAGAGGACGGTGAGCAGCCATAACAGGATCTAGGGACTGTCTAAAGACTTTGACCTGACGTCAACACCACGGGTACTCCAGTGAGAAGGTGTGTCACCACTACATCGCTCCTGCCAGGTTTAAGAGAGAAACCATGGTCCGTCGCAATGCGGCGTTTGACCTCTTCTACCCACCTCAGCTCCGACGCGCTCAAGGCCTGAGGTTAGATGAGTGTTACAGAGAATTGCGCAGTAGAAGAACCTCTAGATGTTTGTAGTAGAAGGCCCATGCAAAGAACTCTGACATGTTCTCGTCTCGGAGGTCATCCTGCTGGACCCCGGGTTCAAACCTATTCGAGACCAGCGACTACCGACGATCCTCATAGCTCACTATTGAGGCTTTAAACACTACTTTCGGCTACCCCCTACTGTTACTACTACTACTACTACTACTACTACTACTACTACTACTACTACTACTGCTACTACTACTACTACTACTACTATTTCAAGTAGTCTACTTGATAAAGAACGAGATGAGATGAAGATCCTAGCCTTTACTGTAACCTCACCAGCCAATGAGCCCCCCAATGAAGCGTAGCCCCAAGCAATATACTATCAAGGCACGATATGACGCTATCGACACACGACTCTGCTTATTCCAAGTCTGCCCCGTAAATGAGGATAGCCTCCATCTACTTCTAGTACTACCAGCCCTTCAGTAACCGCCATAAGCCTTCTGGATGTCGCCTCAGCATCTCAATGGTCTTCTCCAACACATAGTCACGTTGAGCATCCCGCACCTCTGGGACTACCGCAGGGGTTCGAGTCTGTTTGGCGACGTGTTTTCGAAACCTGACCTCGTGAATCCTTCACCCTTAACGCCTCTACTACCATATATAGAATAAGACTTCAGCTCCAGCCCAGAGGACCAAGACAGAAGGTAGTAGTACAGAGGAGACTACTGCCATTCAGTAGCTATTCAGCTGCATAGCCCTCCAGTAACGACTGTTGAACGCAACAAGGAAGTGGAGTGGAATACCTTCATATAGGGCTATGATTTCATATGCACCCTAGTAGAAGGTAATACAATTCATAACATGAAAAGTTTACGTTATAAACTCAACCACGAAATAGCATAACTACCACTACGGTCAAACAGTCAGTGGTGAAGTTCTTGCTCAAACTTGTCTATCTTGCATTTCCTCAACGGTAATCACCTCGTGCCCCCATCATCATTGTCCTCTACTCTACGATGATCTACGAGCCTCTTACTGACCGCGGCAGAAAGAGCGTAGAGAGCGGTAGTAGCTCCGCTGGGCTCTAAGATGAGATAAAGGTGACAATCACGACACAGACTGTTGTATAGGTTGAAGAAGGATGAGTGGAACGAAAAGGTAGTAGCGCATGCATACGCCTGAGGAGACCTTCAGGACTAAGGTAGATGGCGATGGTGTGGTATCACCAATAGAGTCACAGCTCACGAAGCGGCAGCTGTCTATGGTTGAGGCAGAAGCGGAGAGTTTATGATACGGGGTAACGTGGCAGCATCATAGGAAGAGAGAGCTGAAAGAAGGCCAACTAATTGTTATGGAGGTGAACCGCCTTCGCGGTGAATACCAATCCTCAGTGGTGAGAGCTCACTGGAAGTCGCCAGTACTATAAACTACAGTGAATAAGAGGCGGACATCACAGATACATCCGATAAATGCTCCCTGCTTCCAACATGAGCGCAACAACCAGAAAAAAACAATAGTGGTTTATACAGACAGTTCTCCCTCTCCAGAGAAAGCATGCCTTGCCTTCCAACGTTTATGCTTCTCAGTGGTGCGTTACTCTGGTCGGACCTCATTAACTCTCGCATGGTTGTTGCCTTTACCACCAATGGCCACATCCCAACGTTTGGCCTTCTCATTCATTCGGGATGGGTTCAAGTTCCGCATGGGCAGATTATATGAGACATTCTGGTATTCCCAGAGCAATCTGAAGTGGGTACTAGTTTTCGGCTACCCAGGTTAGTGCCTTCCCTCTCCTTCTCGTTCTCCCATGTCTCCTTTCAGCTCTTCTGTTTTGGGTACGTTGGCGAGCGGACCATCAGTACAAGTACCGCATCTATGTGGCGGATAGAAATGTAACCCCTGACACTACCAAGAAGGTGTCCCTGTGGGGTAAGGAATATGGTCAGTGGAGTAACGGCAAGCCAGTGTATCAACAGGCTACAGCAACGGTTCAGGTAGTAACGCTCTGGGGCATTCCTGTCAGTGGTGCTCCTGTAGGACCTAAAGGCTGCTGTCTACGGTGGTAAGGATAAAGTCCCTGAATCGGTCCGAGCAGGTTGCCATGGCCGAATGTTCGAGGACACAGACAACCTAGCTCTCGCGGTAAGGTTACCATCAGTAATAGGGAGAGGGTAGAGCCGACGATGCCAGGTCCGGTCCTTCTGTAAGAGGGACCCTATGATAGTGTTCTGGGATGAGGTCACTGCGCAGAAGCAAATCCAACCTGCCCAGTAAGCTACAATTGAGACTAGTGAACGGCGGGAGGCAGCATTATTGTTGCCATTTCGGTGGTTGATGCCCTTTTTCTCAATCGTCCAATTCTGTCGAGTTTATAACCACCATGTTCACCCTTGTATTATAGGAGTTGTAGCCGAGGAAAAGCGTGTAAACTTCAAGTCCTCGCAAATGTCAAGATAGATGTAGTCCCTAAGATCGATGCGGGGATCCCATCGCTTAGGTGGAAGCCGGAGAGTACGCTGACTGGAAGCATGCTATAATTGCTGTGGCGAGATAAGGTTTTAGATATACGAGGGACAACCTTATAGTATTGAATAAGCTTGGTCGACAATACTGGCAGCAGACACATAATGGAGCCCTCAACGGCAAGGAGAGTAGATCGGCGAACCCTCCCTCGTAGCAAGAGGATGAGGGTTCCGTCCCTAGACTAGCCCAGACACACTCGAAACGTGAAGGCGAGACTAATGATCTCGCCTTCTCGCTCATAATCTCAGATCTTGAGCAGGATCGGTGCCTGTTGTTATGAAGTCAAACTGAATGGTGATCAGTTGTTGCTCTACATCGCCGATCCCTACAAAGCGTTACTCTCTTATGAAGTTTATGATGTCGGTGGTCCAACTTAGCGATATGCAACGATATTTCATCATTTGGCTTTGGAATGGTAAACCTGGTTGGGGCGCCTATGCCATCGTGCGTCCAACTTAGCGATATGCAACGATATTTCATCATTTGGCTTTGGAATGGTAAACCTGGTTGGGGCGCCTATGCCATCGTGCGTCCAACTTAGCGATATGCAACGATATTTCATCATTTGGCTTTGGAATGGTAAACCTGGTTGGGGCGCCTATGCCATCGTGCGTCCAACTTAGCGATATGCAACGATATTTCATCATTTGGCTTTGGAATGGTAAACCTGGTTGGGGCGCCTATGCCATCGTGCGTCCAACTTAGCGATATGCAACGATATTTCATCATTTGGCTTTGGAATGGTAAACCTGGTTGGGGCGCCTATGCCATCGTGCGTCCAACTTAGCGATATGCAACGATATTTCATCATTTGGCTTTGGAATGGTAAACCTGGTTGGGGCGCCTATGCCATCGTGCGTCCAACTTAGCGATATGCAACGATATTTCATCATTTGGCTTTGGAATGGTAAACCTGGTTGGGGCGCCTATGCCATCGTGCGTCCAACTTAGCGATATGCAACGATATTTCATCATTTGGCTTTGGAATGGTAAACCTGGTTGGGGCGCCTATGCCATCGTGCGTCCAACTTAGCGATATGCAACGATATTTCATCATTTGGCTTTGGAATGGTAAACCTGGTTGGGGCGCCTATGCCATAACGGATAACATTGCAGATAGTTGAACCATGGATAGACGCAAATACTGCAAAATGGATTTTGACAGCACTTCCCTCTACGTCTTTTTCGTTCCCATATACCTCAGTGAGTGCCAAGAAAACAGAAGTGAAGTCGACCACCCCCGGAAAGAGCCCGCCGAGTGCTTCAAAAGGGTGGCTGAACCTGTCTGATATTCGCATGCGTTGAGACATTAAGGGGGTGGGGCCCTTTTTTCTCGATCACCCTGTACATGGGCATCGCTACGGCTTCTTTATGGGTTACGCTACACTTCGCATAACGTAAGTAGCTTACGGTTACGGTAAGGGCTTACGACTTTACGATTACTGGCGGTTCGGATTCAACCCAACCGCTGAGAGAGTAACATATGGTTTCGCATTGACCACTCGTCTTCCTTTGAAATTCCGTCTGTCTTACTCCCAGGCTTACCCGGGAGTTCCGGGCCGGAACTGCCAAGCCGGCGTCGTCTACGCACGCGCACTCATATGAATCAGACTTAGGCGACTTGAATCGCCAATAGCTGATCAGAGGCTGATGGAGCTGATCCTATTTTGCTGAGTCTTACTGACCTCTCAATCAGACTCATGTGGTAGTCTGAAGGAGAGGTTGGACTTATGTAACATGTGCAGTATTCGAACCACAATAAGGAAGAAACTCGAGGTATTCCGACCGAAAACATTCGTAGAGTAAGATATCCCCATTAAAGAATCTTAACAGAAAATCACATGCACACCACTCTCGAACATGCAACATCTTTATGGACAACACGCAGGCTGCGTGACGCAGCTTATTGATTGAGACATGAGGGTATCTACGTAATAGCTGATTGAGTACTAGGATCTCCGAAAGAGACGGGCGAGTGCGGAAGGGAGGACAGATGGTCGGCGACAGGGAGGGGATCGGATTGCGTGCCATTTCTCCATAGAAGCGATCTTCATCGTGGCTGGCTTCGCCTGTGTTGCAAACCCGATAGTCTGCTGTTCGTAGTCAACATACACATCACGTTGGGCGAAAAATGGCCCGCCTAGAATGAAGTTATCGAAAGAAGGAGCGGATCGGAGTCGGTCGGTCACTAGGAGACGACACCATTCTCTCGCACATGAGTGTATGTGCTGGCTCAAATTCACCTCGAGAACGGACCCAGAATCAGCTTGGATTTCCATCACGGGAAGCTGGTCGAGGATTTTCCTGCGGACACAAATTTGTCGCTTGGGGTTGACATATGCGTCGAATTTCTCATGACTTTTGGATTTGACAGTCTCCAGGCTATGAGCGACGCGATCTCGTCCGACCTCGAATTCGATAGCTCTCAATACCATCGAGAAAACCTCCTTCGGCACAGGTGTAGAATCAGTACCAGTATCAATGACCACGCTGCGATAGCCTTCCCCATTCGAATAGTCGATCACCTCATTGTAACCGGATGAGCTGTTGACCCGTACTCTCGTTGCAAATAGACCAGAAGCTACTTTATTCCACGAAACTCTATGGAATGGGAACATAACCATGTCCTTTGGTGTTCCTCGAGATCTTCCCAAAACGAGCTCGCCATTTATACCCACCGAAAACTCCGATGCGTGAACCGAGAAGGCTGTTGTGGAGATTATTCTGGAACTCACGAGCTGTTCGAGTGGAGGTGGCATTCTGACTACTGGACGGCTCTGAGCTGGCGACAGACTCAATCCAAGCACAGCATATGGTTGCAAGCCTAACTCAATTCGTGTGCTACCGACTAGAAGCCCTACTTGAAAGTTTTCGACCTCTTGCTGACCAATCTTCAGCGTCATCGTTCGATGCACGAACTCGTCCCTTTGGCCACCCTTTCCGTAAGTCACATTCTGAATCTTTTGAGTTCGCAAACTTTTGAGGTCACAAGGGTTTGTTGAAGGGCAGAAATAGCATCCGGAGCGGAGATACTTGCAGGCGCCCTTGCCGTATATGCTTTCATACCAACCACCGTATACCAGGTATGACATATCACTCGCACTATCGACGAAAAGTTTCATGGGTTGTCCATCAAAATTCATCTCAACTTCTGTGTGTTTCATAGTGAGCCGCACCGCTGAGGAAGCCACCTGGGAGACCATAGCTGAGTGGAGTATAGCACTCTTAATCATGATCAGAGAACAACACAACTGCCAGTGAGCATCCGGACAGATCTGACCTACCTCAATACATCCAGACTGAATAGTGGGAAAGAAAGCTCTCAAATTGACGAGAGTACACTAGAGCGCAATTCCAAGAGCACGTTGAGCACTGGAAACACCCTCGTCACACTGAATGATTGAGCGATGCACGAAGATCTGCATGACTCCACATGTGGAGGGCGTCTCGTCGGTTACGTATTTCCATAGCCATGGAAATTCGATGAGCACTCATGGAATTTCACCGGTTGAACTTTCTAATGTGATTCGCGAGCGTTGTGTTGGAGTGATATGTACAAACATGTAGTCATACACTATGTTGTATGTGTATGTCAAACACGCCATGTTGTGGTGTCTTGACATTGTGTTATGTTACATTACTTATGTATGTACAACATGTGACATGTACCAGCGTATAAATAACACATCAGGTGCAGCTGTTTGACCGCTGATGGTCACACACGAAGTGGAATCTGCAACGGACAACCCGCCAGCTTCTCGACTAATCACAGTCGCCAAGCTCTTGGGTATGGACCCAGTAGCTGAGCCGCAGTGCTTGTGGATAGCTAAGGAAGCATGCAAGGCGAAAGTAGCCCACAACTGGTTCGTCACGGAATCCTCTGATTATTCCTTTTGTGTATGTAGATCGATCATAACGAGTGGAAAGAATTCACAGGACAAGACAAATCAACGATGTATTACAATACAGTGACGAGGAAGGTCCAGGAGACCCATCCAATCATCGAGTATTACTCCCAACTCTACCACAAACAGAAATCCTACTCTAAAGTAACGAGAAAAGTCCGCTGTCACAAACGACCATCAACAGCTCCTCGTCAGCTTCTGTCTGAAGGGTTAATGAAGGATGAGGATGAAAGTCGGACGAAATACGCGTGGGAAGAGACTATGATATAAAGGAATGCAAAGGCCATCTACAGATTCATTCTGAATACTTTGAACGAGCGCGTAGCTCTCGAGCTGCCAACTACAACACCCCAAATCTGTGAACAGATCACCCAGCTTCTCGGCATAGAGTCGACCAAAGAGTTCTTCCTGGTTAGTAAGTCCACTTGGTTTCGTACATGGATCAGAACCGACAGGTGCGTTGCATGAAGCAAACGCTCGAAGCTTATGTGGCGAAAAAATATGATCTCTCAACTTTCCTTTCTGATATGCAAGCCCATGTAGGCTTCCTCAGACGATTCCGGAAGAATCAAGTGAGCGATCGAGTCGCAGATGCGAAATGCGGGATGTTGTTTACAGATCAAGGACGATATAATGAAGAAACCCGAATCGGTAGTCATGTGTGAAGAGTGCGAGGACAAGAGTGCAGTACTAAAATGTGAGGTCTGCCAGGATTATTATTGTCAAGTAACTACGACTGAACGAAATTATGGTATTAACCGTTGATTCGCTCACATCAGGACTGCTTTAATGCAACACATGCAACAGGCAATAGACGGGGGCACATCACTGCCGATGTGGAGCAACTTGTATGTAAGTTCTGGTTTCGTTTCATACTCCAGCAGGACCTGGTCGGAAGTGAGGCTGAACGTCACATAGGCTTCAGGTGCGGCATGTGATAAGGTCGTCGCCACCTGCCAGTGCGTCCAATGTGGAAGCTTCTTTTGCGACAACTGCTACGTGTCCACTCATGCATCTCGACCGGAGTTGCATAACCACTTCAAGCGTGTCATCTCTGGCCTCATCTGTCAAGTATGGGAACGTCATTCTTCGTCGTATTCTCTATCGTGTTTTCAGGAATGTGAGTATCTCAACGCTACCGTCCTGTGTGAAGAGTGTCTCGACTTGTTCTGCACTCAGTGCTTCATTAAACTCCATGGCAGAGGAAGACGTAGAAAACACGCCCATCTCAGCATCGACAACACCGGTGAGGCATTCGTTTATCTCCAACACGATGATTCGCACAGTCAGGGAAAGTCTTCCGAGGAGGCACCCTTGTACCCCCAGAGGAAGCCCAAGTGCTGATCGATCGTTGCAGAAGCACTACTGAGGGTGGACCCTGGGTGATGTTCCGAGACGATAACAACGCCCCATTCTGGTGGTCCCTACAAGCACTCGATCGTTCGCGGAAACACTGTCTAACAGGTATCATTTCGGCAGACGGGTTGCGAGTCCGGAAAACCCTTTAACAAGCAAGACGTCTTCAGGACAAGCTCAGTCCAGCAAAACCGCTGAATAGCAACAGCATAGTCCTGTGGAGGCTATCTCGTCAAAGCAGAGCTCAGAGTCACTGCTGATACTGCGGAGTACTTGGTGTATATAAAATACAGCTATTGTGTTCAGTACGCATACCTTTGCTGTGTTACTGAGAAAACCCAAGACGCTGCTCTTTCGTGAGATAGAGGTAATTAAATGACGTACGAACATCCTCGGAATGCTACCCAAATGGGATGACCCAATTACGATTAAACAGTGTTTACCACTCAGGGAATCATATAAAATTCAAATTGAGATACAGAACTGCTAATGAGCACTACGAATTCGCACACAGAATCATACAACAGTCTTTACTACGATGACACATTGAGGCTTACTAATGAAGTGAGAAACTTACAACAGACGGTCAAAAAGAGGAGAATAACCATTCTGAACGGTTGAAGGGTTTCTAGTAGCAACTGGGTTAATAGGAGAAGACAACACGCGACGACGACGAATGAGTTTTTCCAAGTTCAAACCTGCGATTAACCCAACGAGTCCTCCCACTAATAGAGTGAGACAGACTTGAATTGGAGAATATGCGGCGACGATCTCTCCAGCCGTGACGGCATCTTTAGCAGCTTGAACATACTGTGGAGTGTAGAAGTAGTCGTTGAAACCAATCATTGCGAGGAAATCAGCTGGATAGCCTATGTGGCCAACCGTGGATGGATCGCTCGGGGGAAAGTTATAAAAACCGTCATTGTAGCGAACGACAAGCGTATCAGAAAGCTTCCACCAATACTCCACCACAGCCTCTTGAATTGCCTTGCAAGTAGTAGTAGACTTGGACAGGGCAGCTTCTAACAGTTGAGGTTGCCAGTAGTTGATAGCCGGCTTGACAAATTCTCGCGACATATTGTCATAGTTTATTGCCATCCAGTTAGCAACAAAGTCGAATGCCCACCAAGCCGAGTCCTTCGCATTTGAAAAGTCGCCTTTGTAACCCACTTGAAACTGCTTTGCATACAAGTTGGCGGTCTCATCCAATTCCATACCTCTCGCCTCAGACAGAGTTTTGCACAAAAAAGGGACAAACACGCTGGTCGCAGGTGCATCTTCACTGTAGTAAAGAACTGCATTATCGGGGTCAGGGTAGCCGATCATGGTGTAAGCCGTTCTGGGTATGGAGATCCCCCGAGCGAACTGACCAGGAACCTCAACTTCCCCTTGGCCTCCTTCGAGACGATAAGGGCTGTGAAAAGGACCAGCCAGAATACCCTTCGTGAGGTCGAACTGAGTGCCTTCATAATTGTCGCGGAAGATATCCATCACCTCCTCCAGACCAAGCAGATGGTCCGCCAGCACGGAGAAAGGCAGGTCGAAGGGATTCTCGTGGAACTCAGGTGTAGCGCTTGATAACACATGACGGAACACCGACCAGATCCGGACACTGCTGTACATCGGCAGCTGTAGAGTTACCGTACCATACACACGAATCCAGCTGAAGGGCTCCTGGCCGTCCCATAAGCCCATAGTCAATGCTTCCGAACGTAAATTGGAAGAGAACATAAAGTCTTCATTAGCCGTTTGTGGTATCTCCTTGATCGTGAACTGGTTAGCAATAGCGGCAACGTGACCGTCAGGGACCCTCTGGGCTGCCCATACTGCCGATTTACCAGTGGAGTCTTGCGCTATGTGAAATACCCATCCATCACCGGTCGCATCGATCAATGTGAGGGTCTCTCCAGTCTGCCAGTTCTCCGGGTAGAAACCATACTGCTCGGCCATAGCGCCCATGCTCTGGATGGCACAGACCGCAGTCTTACAGCGCTCCAGACCGATCATAGTCAGCTCTCGTATAGAGAACACCGCTGGGCCGTATTCACCAGTGGCTGGGTCCGGCAAGTCTACTCCTGGCCTCCCAGGCACGCTCACCTCAGTCGTGGACTCCCCCATTGCAAGGCCATGCTCGTTCATCATGCCATATTCCGACTCCCAGTAGCCGTACGTATAAGGCGCCTCAGGAACAGTGGCATTGATAGAGGTAGCGATATGGTTGGGGTCATTGTAGATCGCTGCACGGTCGGACCAGGTACGAGGGTAAAGATGGCCGATACCATACACTGCATGGACGGCGCCGCTCGGATGATCTCGAGGAGGGATCAGAGCAAGGCGCGTGTCACACTCGGAACAATCAGCTGTGTGAGCTACCATCGGTACACCGGTTTTGGAAGCGCCTTTCGACACGATTATCGTAGTGCATGCAATACACACTGATAACGGCAATAGCGCTAGTCGGAGTAGTGATAATATGGGCATGTAGGAATTGAAGCAACTAGACAACAGAAGTCCATACCACACGTTGCAATACTCAACCACCAGCGAGACTAGGCATGACTCGAAACATGATCAGTGCGGGGCTGAGGCTAATAGAGAGGACCCAGTTGGCCGGGTCCTTCTTGTTGAATTCTCAGTCGCAAAGTTCAGATAGCTAGTCGTCTGGTGAGGCAGGACACTTCAACGAAGACACCCAGCTTAGCATGAACGGGGAAATGCAACTTAGCTCATTGGTATTCATGTAGACATCATCGGCCTTGGCTTGATCGTCTCGGCCGAGCGGTAGCTGATAACCCTGAGTACCTCGAACAAGGATAGACCTTACACCCACTCCTTGGGTTCATAACCTACCGTGGTCGGAAAGTACAGGAGGTAATCAATATACGGGAAAGGCAACCCATTTTCCTTCCAGTGCTTACTCTCAACTTTCCTCTCTTCCATGGTCGAGTGAGAGGAAGTGCCTCTCGATGATCCGGAGGTCTACGAGGAAGCTGGAAGACACTACGCCGTATTTACCTTTAAGAATACGGCCTATATTAATAATCGGGGATACATATCTTTATATTATGCTCCACATGAAATACTATATCATTTGTTTATTAGTATTTATTATATTATGAATAGATGTATGATTATTAGTAATATCAACAAAACAAATATTGACCTATATAATAGGTAATATTGTACAGACCATACACTCGAGGCTACTACTACTCGAGCATGTGACGACCACTCCCCGAGATTGCCATCTTGATCGAAAGTAGCGTGCTTGAACAGACCACGCTAGAGATAGCTGTATGATTATCAGTAATATCAACAAAACAAATATTAATCTATATAATAGGTAATATTGTAGAGGCTACTACTACTCGAGGCTGCTACTACTCGAACATGTGACGACCACTCCCCGAGATTGCCATCTTGATGATGCTTGATCAGACCAAGCTAGAGCTAGCGACAGTCGACACAGAATGCCTGCAGTTAGTGATAGCCTCTGGCATGAAAACTGATACTTGTATGATATAGTTGAAGCGTTGGTACTTGTTAGTGTTCTGCCAGACTGGACTGAGCTATGCGCCATTAAGACCATCTCAAAGAATGCAGATCCAAGTACTTTATGATCTCTTATATAAAGTTAAGCCTCTTGAACCAAACTGATCATCGTAAAATTCAGGCTGTTCTACCAAAAGCGAGATCGATAATATTTGCATCCCTTGCACGCATACGCTGTCTAAAGGCGCCTATTCAGAAGGTGCTCTGACAGTACGGAAAGACGGAGTGATTGAGCGCTGAGAGCTAGAGAGGAGGGTTAGCTGAGTGACCAGTGCGGTAGAATCTGCACATGATCAACCACAAGTGTTGGTGTCAATATCAAAACTCTGAGGAAATCTTGAAAAATTTCTGTTATTATATGTCCACTCCTCGCATATATCCTCTCGATTCGTATATGAGCTCCTATAATTAGTGAGAAAACGATTGAGCTCAGCTAGTATATTTTGCGGCACTGTCGGAGTCGACCACAAATTCGCGTACGCTAGCAGGACACGTACCGGGTTGGAGTCCGTTTGAAAAATCGTCCAAGGCTGATCGGGTTCATTCAGAGTGCGAGTAACTGAGCGAGACCGGACGGATTAGATCGGAAATTAGTCGGGCTTTCGAATGTGTTATCATTTATAGGGCGGCGCCAGAGCTGGAGAATTCTTCTGGCCGCACGTTAGTTTCCCGTGATTTTTTTCATTCAATTCAGATGAATCTCCGATAACCAATATTTTCAAAAAAAAAACTCAAAATGGTCTTAGCTATCGAATGGTGTATTGGTCGTCCCTAAAAAATGGGAGGGGAAGTCCAATGCGAGAATCACTAATGAGTGCTCCATCTAATCCACCCCACGCCTCTCATCCGCGTTAGCATCCCTATCCCTTGCTCTGTTCTACTGCGGAACACCACACATGTGAATTGACCAGATGCTTGTCCATGATACAGCGAGCTTAAAGCAAGAGAGTCACCTCGCCTTGACAAGCACCTGAACCCTAGAAATCTGCATTTAATGGTTCATATCGGGTAGGGAGATGGCTCGGCGCATCTGTGACTTCACGACGATTACGGTTGAACGATTATGTGCAATTATCTCCAAAAACGGATAAAATCGCGCACCCATAACCGCTGGAGGATTGATTCCTTCCCTTTTGGTATTCATAGGCTAGACCGGCTAGCCTGAGGACCATATCTGTAGCGCTGGTATTGTGTGGAATATCTAAAAGTTATCACCTTCAAGATTTGCTCAAATGTCTGTTACGACTATCCCCTTCCCATCCTATATGGGTGATTCCGTTGTTGTTGATAGTCCACCCGTGAAGATGACTCTAACAAGAGAGTCTACTGTGCCTCCAGCCAACTGCTGTGTCTTCATCGAGTGGGACGATGTTCTTTTCCCAACCTCCTCTCTATTGGACGGTCATGTCCCTCCGAGTGACGCTCTTACTAAAGACTTCACCACTACTTTGTCCGGCCTGCTCACAGAGCTCATCCTCAAGTGTAGAAACGACGGTCTCTTTATTGTTTCTGCCAATGAACCTGGTCACTTTGCCAGTGCTTTACGTGACCATCTACCACCTGATATTGCTAACGTGATAAGAAGGAGATTCCAGACCATATTCTTGCCTATGGGTGCTTGTGAAGACGCTCTCAAAGATGCAGTGCTAGGCATGGGTGATCCGACTGCCCACGTTGTTTTAATGAGTCGTAGGCCAGCAGTGCTGGGTACCGCCAAGGCGTTGAGTAAATGTGACCCAGAAGGCTATATTAAATGTGTTAGGTTTTCCCATAGTCCGAGTCGTGGTATGTTGAGACCTCAGCTCACTTCAGTTTTGGCAAACCTTGAGAGGATCATGACTTTGCGTAGGCACACTACTTTCGTACTGTGCAGTAAGAAGTCAACTGCTTACCAAAGGTCTATTTCAGCGGACTCTACCGCTTCTACTACTGACGACGACACTTCTGTACAACGTTCGTCTTCTATTGCTTGAAGTGCTGCTTGCTCTCATCTTCTTGTGGCTGCTCTTATATCCAACATTCACTATTGTGCTTCAAACGTTGTTACTCGTGTTAAAACACCGTCTAGTTGTCTAAGCTATCTGTTGTACCCTTTTCTCTATAATCGTCTCTTATAGACGCTGTAGAGGCATATTCGGAGATGCCCTTCCAATGTCTCGAGTGCCGTTTTGTTATCCTATTCCCTAAGCAGTAAAGGGCGTGTTATTGTTGTATTGATCCTACCATCGCTGTATGGAGGTAATCTTAATATATGAAGTAGTTAGCCTCAGTAGTGCTGCCTGATATCACAGGCCTCTAGTCCTCCAGTAAGTATATGAACCCTTTTGAGGCTATTATCGGTAGCGCCTCCGATTTTGAGTTTCACACGCTATATAGATTTGCGTTAGCAGTTTCACATCTCTGGGGGTAGTTGTCCGACCGAGAACTTGCTGACGTGAATTTGGGAAAGAGCAGTAGTTCAACGATAGGTGTATATTCCCTCGTAATGGACGAGCAAGGGCAGCCTGTAGAGCACCACGGTGTGGTTGCCTGGGGGCCGAGGTAGGTGCACGATGTTATGCTGGAGTGGTATGGAACGCTGTACAGGAATCGTCTGTGGACAGTAAAGGGTGGTGCAAGGCGAACTAGCATACAAGGGATCGTTCTGGGAGGCCTGGAGAGTCCTCATTGCGTGTTGCCTGAGGTTGGCGTTGGGGTAGGACCAGAAGGAGTGTGTCTCGAGTGCGAGAAGCTCATGTCCTGCTGTAGCAAGGCTAGATCTAGACAGGTGAGGAGGACTATGGAAAGGCGTTAATGAGAAGAACTATAGTGGAATCAGTCGCTTGCACTGTTGGAGACGGTACTGCGTTGCGACAGACAGTCAGCGGAGTCCTCTGTCTTGGCTGAAGCATTATTGCCTTATGTGGTTGAGAGTCTACAGGAGGAACCGTAATATGGGGAGTCGGGCAGTGTTGGAAAATATGATCGCTTTCCTCAACTGAGCTCAGAAATTTCCTCAGAAGTTTATATGTGAATCCGCTTTGAAATGCAGAAAAAAACCAAAAAAATCTCCTGAAAATTTCACAAATTTTTCCTTTTGTCACCGCATATTTTCCAACACTGGACTTGGACTTCTATCAGGTACCTCCTTATATCCGCACTAATACTGATGTTTACTAATCCTTCGACTACCACTAAACGCCCGAGAAACTCCAAGCCGATCTCACCACCTGTGAATTGCTCACCGATAACTGCAGTCGATGGAGAGTGCTTCTGTCATGAGGCTGAGGGGCCACTTGGAGGGGGCGGAGGATCAGATTGGTTTCCGGGAGTAAGCTCAATGCCTTGGAAAATTTGAAGGGAATTTTTCGTAGATTTCTGTGGGTTTCTATCCAAGTTCTGGATCCTCCTCTGGCAAAGGCATGCCACAGTTAAATATAGGAATACCCAAAAATGCAGTACTACAAAGGTAGATGCATCTGTTAGTGCAGTCCGTTGCTCAGTCGAGTCAATCGCTGCGATATGGTAGAGGTGGAGGGGCCACAACAGCGGGGCCCTATAGCGGGCCTGGCTTTCTATACATGTGCAAACGCCCTGTGGTGAGTTTGTTCTGGTGCAGTTCGAATATTGAGTGAAGTTTTTCTCTACAGAGTCTCCGAAAAATTCATAGCGATTTATGTTTGGCGGGCGCGACGCCTGGAAGTCCCTGGTTGAGGATACCGAGGTCTACAGCAACGGCATCAACTGACATGAGGTTTGGTACCACGATGAAGTCGGTGTCATGAGCTTTGCCCTTGTTAGGATAACTTCATCTACGTCCTCCGTATCTGAGATTAATACCTCTTTACCGCTGATGCCGGACCATCGCGAGGACGGCTTCGGACCGGACTGGTCGGACATCGGCGCTTCGGCGAGTTTCTGCAACGACTGGAGCCGTAGCATAGCATCATTCGGATTCCCATTATTGTTCGTGCTCAGACATTCAAACTAGAGGGGGTGGGAGAGCAATCGACATTTCAGCACCGAACTCTCCTCAGACGTAATATGCAGTTTTCGGGTGATGTGAAATTGTCGCTGTTCTCAGGTACCCTGGTTGCTGCAGCCCATCTATTAGTAACGAGTCGATTTCACCTCCGTCATTGCTAGCATATGATCGGCCGTCTTCTCCTGTGGTGAGCTCTATGCATGCTGGCACAGACCTCATCACTGGTCCATGTCAGATGGGCGTACCACAGCGCTGTCAATGTGCAGAGAACAGCTTCGGATCGGTGATTCTGCCTTTTCTTGATGTTGTTAAAGTCACTCACATAGCGAAAACTATGGAGATGGAGGCTGATCGGTCAGAGGTAGAATTTTTCAGATTGGGTTAATCGATTCATACCACTCCATCTGCAGCGTTTCAACGATGCTGCAATGCTACGGTGTTTCCTCTATGCATTGGATAGCACTCGAGGTCGACTTAATATGAACGACTTCATAATAGTAGCGGGGGAGCCGACAGCCCGACGAGGACTAGGCTTATCATCGACTCTATTGATGCGAGTAGCAGATTCTGATGGCAACTATCATACCACTGGGGGTGAGCGGGCATTGTCGTAATTTTCCGTAACTCTTCTTGTTAGGTTCATGGCCAGATCTCACTGCTGAGATACCCTCAGGCGACCTGTTGCCAAGTCGCTCACTACCCACTGATCCGATCGAGGATGAAGTAGTAAATTGCATCGTAGGTCTTCATATGTGGTGCATTGTCAGGCGTCACTCATCGAAGATTCAGTAGTGGACATTCGCCCTACACTCTGTTGTTGTGCTGTGTGCCATGAAGATGTGAAAGGCCTGGCCACGGTGAGAATCGTGTTGATTCCTCTTCTTTAGTAGTTCTATCAGGTATGCAACGTGTGCGAACACGGTGGACATGTGGCACATATTTCGAGTTGGTTCGATCGGCCCGGCAAGAGCTGTCCGGTGTTGAATTGTCGATGTAAATGTGCATTTTAACGACGTCATCATTGTTTACTAAGACTATCATATTTTGTGGATAACATTGATAACATTGCACTTTTTAGTATTGTTCCTATTGAGTTCGATGAGTGGCGAATACCGAATTAGTTGATATCAAGTAATACTGCTGAACCCACCGACCGTGACGAGATCGGGCGAATGGGGTTTAGGTCAGCAGCTGAAAATGTTGGAGTATATGTAATCGCTTTCCTCAGCTGAGTTCAGCAGTTTTCTCACTAATTATAGTAGTTTACATACAAATTCGAGTAGAAGTGTACAGAAACCAATGAGAATTTTCTCAAATTTTCGACGATTGTCACCTACACATGTAGTTGACCATATGCACATTTTCCCACAACGGCGACTTTCTCAAGTCGTGTTTCATCCCTGCCATGAAAGCTAGCATCCAGAGAGCATTCGACCACGAAATCGATCATGATATCTAATCCTGAGAATACACTTAGTTTTAAGTAGGAAATTCTAGTATAGGGCAACGCAGCGGTATTCAACGATCACAGGGCGCGCGCGAAAACTCCCGTTGAGAATCTCTACTATATACTAATAGGAGTGAACAAATCGTGCGTCAAAAAGTTGACTCCGTTCTTGGTTTGTCATATCCGCGTCTGATTTTCTCTGGGTACCTTAAATGCCATTGAGACTATCCAGTACTACATTTGTCGTGCGACGAAGCTCCCTATGATTCACAGTATCTCTTGCATAGCGTGATCGATCAAAACGATTTAGATGTGTTAAACCGTCACAAAAATTTGCTCCGAGTAATTAATTCACAATCGTTTCCGTGCCTGTTTTCGGTTCCTTCCAGATTGTGTCTCACTGTCAACACCCCTACATATATCATGTTCGCCGTATACTTGGTACACTTACATTCTATCAAGAACTGCCTTTTCCGTATCACTTACTGTAGCCGTATTTGTAAGATCGACCCTAATAGATATGCGCCGATGTACATTGTGTCAAAACGTTACAGGAAATTATTCACAGCAAGAATAATGCCTTTTCTCTATCTGATCAGCTTTACACCCTTAATACCTACTAAACACTTATTAATCTTTTACCATACGATAGCTTTGTGTCATACGCTTTTTTCTCACTAGCACGTTCAGTTTTCATGGAGATTTCTACCACATTGAACATGCGCCGATGTACACTGTGCCAAAAATTCACGACATTCACTGCCCACAGTCTGTGATGTGAAGTATAATTTCTATATTTTATGTCACATCACTCTCTCTCTCTCTCAAACTCCACCGCCTCTCTCCCACTGCCAACAGATGTGTTGGTAGGGTTTATACATGTCAAGCTTTGATCGCTTCTAACCATGCAATTCACTGAGGTTTCCATACGGAGTACTTCGCGCCTGCAATACTTCATGCTTCGTCGTTTTACTGCTGAAGCACTTACATTTACATATGTTATCCTTCTTTACTCAATAACACCTGTATTGTAGGCATTACGAACGACTTGGTTATCCTACAATCTACTTTCATCCGTCGGTATTCATGACGTAGTGTTCAATTTTCACCCTCAAGAGTTAATTACTGATCGTGATACTGCTGAGGTACTTGCATCTACACATGCCACTCTTTTCTACATAATAACGCTCCTTTCATGGCATCACCAACTGCATCATCACCCTACCATTCGATACTAACGACGTGGTGACGAACGTCCAACGACTCTGTTGTACCTCCAGATCATCAGCCGATCCGTTTGTGAGGGTTCACTCATTCTTATCACCGACTCTTACTGATGTCGATCATGTGCCGCTTCCAGTCATGCACCATTCTTAGGTATCCGCAAAAACTACTCTTCACTCTCGAGACATTGCCGCTAATCGTGACACAGCCGATGTAATTTATGATCATTTGCTACATAGTGATGCATCTGATTTGGATGATACAACCCACACTGTCACCCAACAATCCTCATTCCGAGTGTGTCATTCGCGGAATCGATATAATCAAACCTCCCATATGCGTGGGTTACAAGTGGCAGTCAACACTTGACAACACAAGACCAATTGGTAATAGAAGAGAGGGTAGTAAAATCCATCGAATTATTCGATTCGAATAATACGTCTGTTTCACCCCGAAGCCGATACTGTTCACTTGCAACCGTTTTTGCGATTGACGATTTTTCTATCTCAATGAAGATATTTAACCTCACTCTCTTGGTCGTATGATTGTGAAATGTTCATCATGTGATTCGGTACTCTCTCGTGAAGTCGCAGTCCATATCTGTGTCTCGGCTACCTGCTAAGGTAGCCGTAGGTAGCCGGCTAAGGTAGCTAAGCTACCGGCTAAGGTCCATTACCTGCTGGACCTTATGGCTTTGGGATACAAGGGATGTTTCAAAGACGATTAGCACCTCAGTAGGAGTATAGCGATTTCAATACCTTTCAGGAATTCTTATAAAC